GCGAACTGTCTGAATCCATTAAGGATGAAAGGAAGATAGTTAGCAGGAAAAAGAAATCTCAAAGGTATTTCTAAAAAAGGTTGAGGGTCATTAAGGCACTGGAGAAATGTAAGGTTATTTCCTTGGCAGGCCATCTAAGTATTTTTATTCATTTCTTTAAGTGGCTGCTCTGAACAGGGCACAGCTTTCCCTGTTCTTCAGTCCACTGCACTACAAGGGAGATGCTGTATTTTGGGGGCGAAGTGAAACCTCACCTTGTGACTAAGACTGAAGCCTCAGCAGTATCTGGCCTTTAGCAGAAGGTGAGATCACGTCCACATCTATGCCTCGCTTTGTCTGTTCCATACCTTCCTCCTGCCTGGTATCTCATAAAACCAATGTGATACTTAGGATGCAGCTGAAAAGAGAACAGCGATTCTGCAGGCTGCTCGCTTTCTTGCTGACTCAGCCAACTGGGTGCTCAGCTAATTTCCGCAGTGCTACAGAAGCTTCCTCACAGTGGAGGCAAGGAAATATTTTTAATTGATTAGAGCCTCCCAGAAAGCCAAAGCTAATTTGTCAGTTCTCAGATGAGCTGTTCTAAAAATCGTGTTCTCTGGTTGTAGAGATAAATCGGAGTTAGGCTGGGACGGCCCTCCATCACGCCTATTCAGGCTGCATCGGTCACACATAGGTAAACTTTTTTGGGGAAGAACAACTCCCTCCTCTGCATGAGTGTGCTGCAGTTGTTGTGAGTGAAGCCAAATGCCATTGATTTAAAAGGAAAGCAGAGCTGAAAGGGTCAGTGACCTCTGGCTCGGAAAATCTGGAGTCCAGTTTCAAGGCATGAGACAAAGTTGAAAGACTGAAATAGACTGGCTTCAAAGGGGAAAAATGAATATTATGAGAGCAAATTATACTCTGACTTATCACATGGTAAATTCTATTTTGGTGAAGAATAACTTAATTTGATATTCTGCTTATGGCTTAACTTTAGGGAGACACTGACAGGTAAGGACAGACAAAAGGAAAACTATGGACCTGTAGGGGAAAGGCTGGTTGGTGCAGACTGGAAGGGAAACTTCATGGCAGTGATGCTTGGCTATACAAAACTAGGAATGTGAACTGGACCACACAGTATACAGATATAAAACTTTAAAATCTTAAGAGGATGCGACGTTGAAGGCTACAAAGGTGTAAAAACTGAAGAAATACATAAAAGTGAAAGTTTTGGATAGATACTTTTTCTTTGTTTAAACAAAACCTGAATGAATGAATGATTCAGTTTCTTTGACGTCATAAAGACAAAGTGGGAAAGCAGGTTAACTATCTAGAAGAACAAATGAAAATTACTTTATACATTTGTTAAAAGTACCCCAAGATATAGGTCAAACATCTTTTCTTCATGTGCAAATGTGCTCTCAGATATTTAATTTTATTTCAATTAATGTTTTCCAATATGCAGCAGGGTGCCCGATGATCAGAATAGGAATCAACGGTGTTTATAGACAGTATATTTAGAAAATACTGAGAACTTTGTATAATACAAACCAAACAATGGTTACACCACAAATGTATTTTAATTATATTAATAAAAATAAAATACATTTATCCAGAATCCACTTTCAATATATTTTTCTTATTTTAAAAATTACTTTACCCTTCCCAACATCCATGTGCAACATACACATGCACGATAACAGAGTGCACAACATCTGAGAATAGGTAAGGAAAAGGGATTGTGGAAATCTTTCTTCAGATTTTAATACACTTTGGATTAGGCCCTTTAACAGTAACTATGTTATGTGACATGGGCATTTGCCTTTGGAACCTCAGGCTGGGTCAAGTAATTGCATCTGGGAAATACAGTTTCTGTTTCTTCCCAGGTCTTTTGTGGTCACATTTTTCGAAGATCAGTTTTGACAGTACTCATTTAAATGTTTCCTTACTTCATAGTAAAAGAGGGCTGAAAATGGCCCACAGAAATCTCAGGAGGAATGTATGAATTCAATCATAGCGAGAAATGTGAATTAGACCCTTTCTGCTATGTACTTACAGGGAGGTAATCTTGCCAACACTCAGGAATACATTTTATGTCTTTCTCAGTACATTCCACAGTCTTGTACTTTATCTCTAGATTTTTTAAGATGATAGAGCCATAAGGAGTGGGACTATACTTAGAAAAAAAATCTAAGATGATCTATTCCCATAACCCTAGGACCCATGATATTGAGAACAGCACCAAATATCACAAATCTTGTGGTGAAGTAGAAGAGATGTCAACACCCAGTGACACAGATAGCACCGTACCGTGAGACCATATGTTACGTTCCACGTACCCACTACCTTTCTTTTGCTAGAAAGAAGCGTGTTGGAGAACATACTTAACCGCCATTTCCCAACAATACTGACTGGCAGCAGCTACCTTATGACAAGCAGTCATCTTCCCACGCTGCTTTGTTCAAGGGATCTCCCACACTATTTTACCTATAATCAGTTTCATAGGGTCTGGAGAATAGGTGTAATGAAATAGCAACAGTTTGAGAGATCCTACAGCAGGACTGAAAATAGGGGTCATGTACAACAGTGGCTGAAGTGAATAGAATAAGAATCCACGTGTACAAAACATGCTAGCGACACAGTCAGTTGTATCTGACATTAGTCCCCTGTGCATATGTACTCATTACTTTCTTACAGATAACAATTTCCCTCATCATAAATACTGACCTTTTAGTAATACAATATGGCATCATCAACTCTCTCATCTTTTATCAAGCAGCACATTTCAATATGATTTATATGCACACATTTCTTACAATAACAATTGGCATCAAGATAAAGGCAGACAAAAAAATCTATTACAAAGCAGGACAAGAACCACCTCTTTGCTTGATATTTCATTAATAAGCAATGCACAGCTGCATTACTCATGTCTCAAAACAACACAGTCGCCAAACACAACTGAGTGTGGACTTAAAAAGTCTTTACCTCATGGTGAAACAGCAAACTGGACCTTCACCTTCTATTTTGAAAGGATGCCTATTGCATATATTGCCTCAAGACTCAACAGATTCAGCAGAGAATGACAAAAGATATCCCTCCAACTTGTCTTCCAGATCTAGTTCTTTACATATTAGGTTTGGATCTCAGAGAGAACTTCAAGCTCTGTTTTATACTCATTAAATCCATTTAGTGGATATGCCAATATCCCCTAAATAATATAATTTTAATTTGATGGGGGATTGAATGTAACCCTTGCATTACAGCTACTACAAACAGACTAAGCCCAGCAAAAAAGCAAACAGAAGGGGCCTGTTAAGACGGACCCTGTATAGCAAGTAAGAAGTCTGGACTGGCCTGGGCTGGGAGGGAGGCAGGAAGAACAGAGCATCACCCCAGCTCAGCGTGCCCAAAGCTTTAACTAACTGAAGGAGAAGTTATAAAGTTTCAAATTCTTTCTTCACTGTGTAATCACAGTTATCTAAATCAGAAAATGTGTGGTCAGCAAGGTGTACAACTCCTGTAAGACTTGTTGGTGACCTCAAAGCTTCCCTAAACTGGAACACTAAAAGTGGGAAACAAAGACAAACTAATACTGCTGTACTGACCCATCTTTAGGTCACTGGCTGGGAAAGTCCAACTTACAGAATGACAAGTACTTTGAATTCATATTCCTCATTCTTCTTTAAAACTTTTCCTGATAATATCAATGTTAACTACTATAAACATTACTACTGTGGCATTAAAATTCTGTTTATAAACACTTCTCTTTCAATAGTTTACTCATGGTAATCAAATAGGAATCAGCTACTCTCTTTTTTAATGCAATACCCTTCTATTATAGACCAACGTGGCATACCAACCCTTTCACAAATGTGTCAAAAAGATGGTAAATGTTTTTGTTCCCATAGCTCCTCCTGGGGAGCTGTTCCAGACCCTTACTCTCCACAGTGGCAAGGTGAACAATTCACCTCTTTTCACTTTGTTTCATAAAAGAGAGGCCCATCAATTTATTTGATTCTATTAACAGCCCTGCAGGGTAAATTTTCCCAGTTTCTGTTCCTGTTAGTGAACATGTGTGTTAAGAACTGCACTCAGTCTTCCAGATAAGGTCTTACAAGTGTCTTGTATATGACAATTCCTTATCTCTACAGGCAATGCCAGAGGATGCATCTTAGGAGTGTATTTGCCTTTTTTATGAATGCATTAGACCGGTGGTTTGTAATAATCCTGTGCTCACGCAATAAAGCCCCGTTTTGACACCATCCCTCAGCAATTATTACTATTGGTTATCGATGACACTCTGCGCTACCCCATTCCATCCCATATCTGTTTTTCCAGTCTTCATAATCACTAGATTTTTCCTGTTTGACGTTCTGAGCCTACTCGATTGTGATAATGATCTGCCACCTTCATGTTATTGGTACAGTTCAATGTTTGTGGTTAGTGTCACTATTGACAGCATTAGAAAATGAATCCAGAAGGAATTCTGTAAACCTCTGTCTTTCACTCCAGTTTCTTGCCTTTGCTGCCGTATTTCCATATTCTTCCAGAAAACTGATGTAAAGCAATTACTTATAACTTAATGAACAATAGTGTATCTTGCATCTGCAGAAGTAATTTATATGGGGTAGTGCAACAGGTGCATATTTTTGTCAGACTGCCACAGACCCCTGGTGAATGGTATGGGTCAACAGGAAAGATTAAGTAAGAGCTGCTTATAAAGGGTGCAACTCAAATATTAATACTTTCATATTAGAAACAAATCCAAATCAAACAAATAACTGCTGGAAATTATGCAACCATTTGCTAAACAAATTCATACCCGTCCAGCTACACTGGCAACATGCAGGCAAATTTTAGGCAGTTATTTAAATTCTTTCCATCAAAATACTCAGTTTAAACATTCATTAGTGCCTTGAAAGTTTTATGTTTCATCCTACAATGATATACCAACATACACATTAAAAAATATCACAAGGAGAGGACTCCTATCAGACTTTTAATATCCTCCTACTAACCTTAGGTGGTTTAAAAGGATAGTCCGGTGAAAAGGTAATGTCAAGGAAGAAAACTCCACCTTCATATACAGACCCTGGAGGCCCCAGTATTGTTGACCTCCATTCATAAATGTTGTCTCCTTTGGGTCCAGCACTAAAATAGAAAACAAAAATATAACATAATAACCACATACAATCAAGAATATACTGCATCAGTTATACTCTACTAGTAGTACCGCTGGTTTTGCAATAACACTATAAGTTAAAATTGTGTATCACATTCATTAAGTTAGCCCTCGATAAAACATGTAACTGGTGTCCTAAGCTCTGTCAATGAAGTGATATATTCAGCCAGGAAGAAGTATTAAAATCACATTATAAATTATTCAAATAAGCACCGAAAAATTCCTGACTGTCTTATCTCAAATATTTTAGTGGGCAGATGTGAAGTATTTACAGTGCAAGGATACAGAGACTTTGCTGAGATGTCTTGTCACCGTCTTGCCTCGCAAGCCATCCTATTTTCACCTACCTCCTCATCCACCTACCTCATCAGTCAGTAGCTGTGTAATTACACACATTATTATACAGCACAGACTGTACTAAAGACTGAGCAGCGTACAAACGACCTTGCAGCTGTACTTTCTAAGTTACTAACCTAAGGTCTCCAGTCACTAGTACAGAAGGCTGCTTCACTCTGCAATCGTTACCCTATCTTAAAAATATTATAAACAGGAAGCGGGTTAAACTGTTGGATTATGTTAATTCAAAGTCCTCGTTTAAAACCACAGAACTGAAACAATATTTAAAATGTACAAAACATAATCCTGTATGTGAAACACGAAAAATCTCTCACCCACACGGTCAATTCCTGAAAAAATAAAATTAAAAACTAATAAAAGTTCTTGGGCATGACTCTTCCAAAAGCCAACACAGCCTCCTTTCATGCAACATAATGCTTGTCCATAGAAATACATATTTTACTCAGGGTGGCCTCTCAAGGAATACGAAGACTTCTTTTTGGTTCACAGCCTGCTGATACCAGTCACTGATACAGGACCTGAATTTTAATTAGGATCAATTGGGATGGTGACTTCTAGATATCTGATTAATATTTTCAGAGGAAGGCAGTGCTGGTAGATATTTCAAATAAGTGATGTGGTATTGTCTTAAGGGATTTCTTGTGAAACAATTCTTGTAATGTTTGCAATAAAGATTTCCACAGCATGCAGGGGTTTGTGAAATAACCCTGTGTGTAGAACAGATGAAAGCTCTTGGCTATGCTCCATGCCTCACAATGTACCCAAGGCATACAATTATACGACATCATGTCATGTTCACTGCTCAACTATTCATTTTGTTCACTGAAAGTTAATAAAATCCTCTTTCACCTGAAATTCCTTGGGCTCCCTTCATTAAAACTTCTGACTGCATGATTCCCTGCATACAACTGCGTGACTTAGTACTGCGCGGTGTACTTCATTAGTCATGGTACCTACACCAATTTTCTATAATAGCTGTTAATGCTTCTTGGCTTTCTAAACTACGTGCTTTCTTAACAAAAATGGGTTACAGAGACTATAACATTATGGAACATTCATTTTCCATCAGCCATAGTAACAAAACTAGCAATTGTTTTAAAGATAAAATCTGGCTTTTTAAGTGTCACAATAGCAGAAGTGTTGCCATACATATTTCACAGTGTCTATAATACATCAGGTTGCTAGCTGCCAAACAAATTTAATTTGCCCAGTTCTCAGTTTGCATTAACCTTTGAATAATAAAGCACAGCTGAGACTGCTGTAAGAAACAAACCAGAGAATGAATAATTAAAAACACCTCCACTGCCTTTAGAAAGACCAATCCCGAGTCAACAGGGAAGGTTTAATTGTGACTGAACTACACATTAAGGGGCTAATTGAACTCTTTATAAGCCCAAACGAATGTGGTCCTACATCAGTGCTATGGTATACAAGGTTCACAGAAAGTAAAACCCTTAAAAAAAAAAAAATCAGGCAATTAGTTCAAATAGAAAAGGCAAGATGCAGGGGCAATCTAAATCTTACACGAAAAAAGCCCATAATATGTGAAGGAAATCCTTCCCCATTTTCTGCAGAAAAATGTTCTAATACTTGGAGAAGCAATGACTCAATTGATGCCAGCAGGTTAAAATGGAAGTGATATAAATGTCAGTCCCAGAGAAATGGTTGGAAACAGCAAGTAACAAAAGCAAGCCCTGTGTTTTTAAGACCTTATTTAGCCCTTTAGGATGGTTGGGCCCTTTTTGGGTTTGAGCGAGGCTTGCTTTTTTGATCAGAACTCTCTCTGACAGTGGCATTTTCATAACTTATATTATTTTTATTTGTTTTGCCTATTTATTTAATTGCATTAACATTTGAAATGAGCAGTCATTAATTAGAATAGTTGGAAAATGCTCCATCTGCCAGTTGAACTGTTTCGGCACGTCCAGCTACAAGCCCAGCCTGATCACATTCTGAGGACGCTGATTAACATTAATTGAAGGTTTTCTTTGCAAATGAGAGATGAAGCTTTATTAAGTATTATTATTAATTTGAAGAATAGCTGGAATTGTATGGAGTGTGGGAAGACTGCTGTTACCGACGTTGCCTGTTAGAGCGCTTGCTGGCAGCCAGGCTGTTCAGCCGATGTAAAATACTGATCCACGTGTACAGGCAACAGCTGGTATTAAGGGCAACAGCACACACAAGCATAGCGTTTTTTCACTTGCGCATTAATAATACAAAAAGTTTGACAGGTGTACTATCTTTGTTTTCCTTCTTTCCTAATTGTTAAGCCTTTTATTTATCCACATTATTGGCAACCAGAACGACGACTCATCAGGCTTCACCAGAGAAAATTCCCATATGTGCAAGACCTCAGCCAGAGCCTTATTCTATAAGGTTTATAATGCGAGAGGATTTAATTGCCCTTCTCTCTACATGGATATCTGCCCAGCACACTGAAGCCCAAATGTTTTACATTCAGTATGATTTATATTCCAGCTCTATTGATGTTACTGGCAACCAAATCACAGATCTCAAAGAAAGCAAACCAAACATCTCAGTGCCTGAAGTTCTGTTATCTTTGGAAGGACAGATTCAGATGTGCACCCGCTCAGCAAAGGGCAGACTAAATCTGTCTTGAACTCAGCTGACCCAGGGCCAGAGCATACGCATGCTGCCTGCTACTAACCCGCTGCTAAATCAGTCAGCTTCAGGGGACAAGTAACAGTGGCTGTGGCAGCTCCAGGTGGAAGTGGCTGAACTATAAGGATAAGGTGGTTAGGAGAAGGACAGGTCTGCTGTCGGACCAGCAGCGCAGCCTCCCAGTTTGAGCCCAGATGCTGAAACGCTAGCGAACCCGCAGGATGAGGCAACCAAGGAGCCCAGCGAGAAGCACGCGGTGTGACTCTGGAGCTGGCACTCCCAACATTTCCAGCGTTTTCTCCCAGGTGGAATTTGTAACATAGGACCGAGGAGGTGCAGCTGAGCATAAAGACCCTGGAGACCTGACGTTATCAATGGCTTGTCAAGAGCTAGCTCTCTGCTGTCGTTATTCCCCTATAGCTGATGAGACACTGCACAGAATATTGCCTGGTTTACCCGCTGGGGAGGCTTTGCTCACTGGAAGAGCTGGGGCGGGTGGACATGGAGCCAGCCTTCTTCCTCTTCCAGAATGACATCAGTATGGGCGTATGAAATTCAGGACAAAGAAGTCAAAACACGTAAAACGGTCTCCTTTGTATTTCACTCTCCTTTGCATCTCCTTACATATTCGAGTTCTGCCACTGCTTCCCACATACATACTTGCAGGTGAAATGTATGCACATCAGTTACAGTTAGTAGCAAAATACTTTAAATGCTACTATAACTGAATTAATTTTGCTTTAAATATGCTTAACGCACTGAGTATTTTCTATTTCCTCAACATGTTTTAGGCAGGCAGTCACTTGAAAGTAGTGCTGCTAAAAACTGCTTGTCCACTACAATCCATTATAAACACCAAGCTTTCCCTGCATTTAGAATATCCTGAAATATTAAATTGAAAATGATGTATTAGGAGACTTCTATAAAAACAACAGCATCTATGAGACATACCAGATAAAAACCTATCTGGAGAAGTTACGGAAGTACAGTTGATTTTTAGTTTTATCGGAGCTGTGATTTGTATATAAATTTACTCAATTTCCAGATAATAACTCAAAAAAGTAAAAATACAGAAATTCAAAGAAATAACAGTATCCCACATGTTCATCAAGTAGTTGTATGGAATAAATTAGTCAAAATAATATTATTATTTTCTAATCTAACTTATGTTTCTTGATGAGGGATCCCCTGCTTCCCCAGCGTCTATAACCGGAGGTAGCATAACCTTATACTGTAGAAAATGAGGACTAGTTCAATGCCTTCCCTTCCATTCTTGGTCTCTGAATCTTGCTGGTATCTACTTTTAAAGTGTAACTGTACTCTTTAACACAAGGGAAAGGCAAGCCTATAGCACAAAACAAAGACGTAAGAAAAGGAATTATAACTTAAATTGCCTTCTAGTTCCGACACACTAACAGTGTGTGTGGGGAAGTGATCACGCCAAATAAAACAGGAAAGCAAGATGGCTGGGAGGCCCTCCCATTCCTCAGGACTCAGAAAGAAACGGAAAGATTCTTCTGGACTAGGTGAGTTTAAGTTCTTTTTTATCCTCATCCTTTATAACAGGGTAGAATAAAGCAGGACCAGGATATTATACTAATTTTGTCCATGAACTCACTTTCCATGGCATTGTCTGTGGCAATTAATTCTTATTACTGCCTTATCTAATCTGAATTGACTTAGCACACAGAAACACACATCAGAACTGGGGTTCCCCTGTATTAGTTGCAGTCCATGGAAGATGCAGACCCTCTCAACCATCTTCGGTAACATATGACAGCAGAAGGAAGAGGGATACACTCAAGTCTCTTCCTTTCATTACATGGAGCCTTGACTTCACTATTTAAGAGAATTCCCTCTGAGGACAGAAGTTCACCACAGAATTATCTCCATTTATAAGACACACAACACTTTTTCTTGCAATCCTGTTGCTTGCACATCTAACAGTTATGCTGGAGCAGATCCTGCCTCTAGCTGTCCTCCATGA